AAAAACCACTCTAAACTTGCCCTTTCTTCAGTTTTCCCCAATAAATCATGCAATTGAGAGAGAGTTAGAGAAGAAGTATTAGAGAAGAAGTTTAATATCAAAGTTGTCCGGATCCCTTCGGGGGCGACACTGATTGAACACGAAAAAACATTCTAAACTTAGTTTTGGGAAACTCTAATTAGAACAATGAGAAGAATGAAATATAAAGAGTTTTTTGTGCACTTGGGTCGTTGTGGCACATAATTTATTCTTGATGTTTCGCAAGCACGAGTGACTTGCATCTTCAGAGGTGGTTTGCTGGCGCAGCACCAGCTAAAATGCCTAAAAGCCCTTGAATCGTACATTTTCGCGCAAATCACCTCTGAGGATGCAAGCCACTTGAGCTTGCGAAACGCCCGAAATATATTTTTTGTACGACAGCCTAACAGTAGTAAAGTACGATTTATACTCTATTATCCATATTTTTCTTTGTGGCTAGACGGCACATTTCACCGGCATTTTTACCTTAACGGCAACGTACAGTTTTGTTATGGGGTTTCTTGCATGGGTCGGTTTAGAGCTGAAAAAAAATTGGTAAACCCTTGATATTGAAGCTTTCTCTCTTCGCCCTGTTCGACCCATAGTTTGGGGCATTATCCATTTTTGAGAAAGCGTTGTAAAAATTCCCCCAAAATCTGTTCCAAATCGCCGTTTAATACCGTATCATTAAATCGATTTCTATGTGGCTGGCTCAGCAAGGCCTTGCGCGACCTTATACTTTCCCCCCGAAACTCAAACGGTAATAGCCATTTTTAAAAAAGTTTCTGCCTCTTTAATATTCAATACAAGTATTTGGTTACCCATCATTTGAAATCTTCGAACAGGTTGTAATTTCGGTAAAAAGTGCTTAAAACCGGTGCCGACACTGCAATTTATCTCGCCGGGGCTTTCACTTAATAGTAGCCTTTTACCCTTTTACTAATAATACATTTTTGCCGGATTTACTTAGAGAAGTAGCGAACGGGAAGCAGGAGCAAGGCAGGTGAGCGACTGCTCCTCCACAGCTCCAGCACACTCCAAAAATTTGCCAAAAGCGAAGGAATTTGAAATAAAAATGAAATTAAGGGTTGCAATGGGCCGCATCACCATCGGTTCGCCCTTTTTCGGGTATCGACTCGTATCGAGTGAGCACAATGAGTTGTGATTCCGCAGTGCGTAAAATTGCGAGTCGAGTACGTGTCTGAAGAGAATGGAATGGCATATGGCGGG